TTCTCGCAACTGGGTTAGGGCGCTTGGATCGGCAGCTTCGGCCGTAGCGGCCGAAGGACCAGACTCTGCAGTAGTACTGGAGATGAGGGCTTTGAATTTGACCTCCCACGAAGCCTGCACATACAAATTGGGTTGAGTTTGAAGGAAGTCATGACAGGAGTAGCAAGAAAGTTTCGTTTTTAACCTGCCGAGAGGAGACCTCGGCCATGTCTCCAGGATCGTTGCTCGAACCTAAAGAACTCAATGGCCGAGCCCAGTGTCTCAAATTGCTTCTCACTTCACGCGGCCGATGGAGGTTATCTACGTTTGATGGCCACTGAGGCGGCCAGGAAATATAGATAACGCCCTTCGGCGCATAGAATTGATGGTGAAAAGAATGTACAGGCACCTGACATTTAGTATTTTCCTTGTTTAGAATTCTAAAGCAGAAAAGCAATCAGGAGGAGACAATTGAAGGTACTTACAAAAGCCGAGGTGACTTCCTGTGGAGGAATATGGAAGCCTTGGTCTTGAGGATGGACCGGCGATTCCGCCGTGGCCTCGGGTTCCTCGAGCAGCCGTTTGCCACGGTCGGCTGCCGATGGGCCGACTGGCATAGCTGCTTCAGAGGTGGCAGGGACGCCCTGGTCTTGAGAAGGAACGAGAGGTTCGGCCACCGGGGTCGGTTCTTCGACCGTGCGCTTGCCACGATTAGCCGAAGAAGGGCCGGTTTGGACCGCCATCTCTGGTACTGGAGGAGGTTGTCGACGAGTATGAGGACGATGCGCCAGCAGGACCTCGTCGCTCCCCTCACTCTCTTCCAACACGAAGACCGGGGGCTTTGGATTCTTGGGAGAGGTTCCTTCGGTCGTAGAAGCCGCCTGTTGTGAGACAGGTGCCTTCTCGACAGAGGGAGGGACGACTGATTCACCGGCCACAGAGGCAGGTCGCGCTGGGGCCGTCTCTGCGGCCGAAGCCGGCTGTTTCTCGACCACAGAATGGCCGGCGGCGGGAGAAAGGGAAGCACTGGGAGTCGTCGTGTGACTGGAGATAACGTGGATCTCCCGTGCACCTTTCTTCGCCATTTGTTTGACCCGCTTGGCAGGCGGGGAAGGCTCGACAGCCGGCTCGACCTCTTGGCGAGGCCGTTTGATCAGCACGGCCCTACCAGCGGGTTTGTCCAGTGCGGCCCTACCAGCGGGTTTTGTCCTTTAGTGCCACGACCGATTTTTTCCCGGCCGTGGCCAGCGGCAACTGCCTCCGTCTTTCTCAAAGGCCGGCTACCTAAAAAGATAAAGACAATTCAGCAAGGCAAATCAATATGCAAGGTTGATGGAAAGGAAAAAAGATGGAACAGATACCTTGAGGATGGGGGGCCGAGGCCTTCTTAGGCCGATCACCGAAGAGTCTGCTAAGCACATCTTCGACCGGCGTACCAAGGAATTCCTGGGTGTATTTCTCCCACCACTCATCAAAGGTGTCGGTGCAATGGGTTTCCGGGGTGGCTGGTCGAAGGCGGAATTTTTGGCAGTGCTCTTGGAACTCCCTCACGGCGGTTCTACACTCCTTCTCAGAGGAACTAGGCTCGCGTCCACGGCTTAGGACCGTTCGGGAGGAGAGAAGGGGGATAGGGCAGCCCTGAAGGTAGCCGAGCTGTCGGGCAAGGAAGTTCGGATGATATACTTCCCAACCTGACCGTTTCCCATCACAGCCGAGAGGGAGGTCGCGAGCAAGCACAAATGATCCCCAGGTCTGACGAAGATCGGTGTCCTCCTCCAAGCTCCATGGGGAGGTAGGCAGCCTGATGGAAGAAGGATAGTCCCGACGATGACATATGAGGAACTCGTCGTTGGAGAAGTCGTCGAGAGCGAAGAGGTACCGAAATACCTCTTCGGCTTGATGGGGAGGTGTCGGTCGAGAGGCCAGCTGAGGTCCAAGCGCCTCTGTTGGTGAGAATTCAGCTATGGCCGGCCGAAGGGAGGCGAAGTATACCTGCAGCCAGAGTTGGAAGACCCAGAGAGGACCATTCTGGTGTGGGTCGACCTTGTGGAGGGTCGCCTCGGCCAGGCAGCGGAAAAGTTGGGCGAGAATGTTGGAACTCAGTGCCAAGACGTGACCACTAGCCAGGGCTTCGGCTACCGGCATGTTCTCGACCAAGCACTTGTTTGACTTGGTACAACAAATGTATTTGTTGTACCAGTAGAAGAGGAAGGCTTCATGCTCTCCTTCTCGTAGATCCTCTTCTCCTCGACCGGCGAAGTGAAGATAAAGGGTGTTGTAATTACAGAAGTTCTTGTGGAGCTTCTGAATATCTTCCTTCGACGGGATGTGACCGTCACGGTTCAAGGTCTCGAAGGCCCGACGATCGAAGAGCGTTTTCAGGTCAATATTCGACCTATGCCCAGAGAGGGTCGCGTCGACGGGGATCCCGGTCGCCGAAGTCCCCAGAATGGCAGTGATATCCAGGATGGTGGGACCAACGGGACCCAGAGGAAGGACCATTGTGTTGGTGGCCGAGCACCAGAAGCACAGAGCGGCTTGGAGAAGCTCCTTGTCGGGGACGATTTCCATAGACGAAAGGAGGATGGCATCGTAGATGCCAAGGGCCTTCCACTGCTCGCCGAAGAGTCGTTCCATTCGAACGACCCAGGCTGCCCAGGATGTGGTCGTCGAAGGCCAGGAACCCTGGGGTTTAGCCGCATCCCATCGCGGCCATTCAAACCCTTGAAGCAAGGGTGTTAGGCAGTGCTTCTGCAGAAGGCCGATGATAGTCGGCAGTATTGTAGCCTTGAAGAGAGGACCCAGGATTTGGTACTGGGTGCTCATGTCGTTTTCAAACCGGATGGTCTTGATAGAGCTCCGATCAATAATCTTCTGATGTTGGTCACATTCTCCGGAAAGCTTGGAGATGAAGGACGCCATTGTGAGAAAGAAGCACGGAGTAGAAGGGTTGTCTGGGTTGGGGATTTAAAGACGAAGACTTGGAATAGGAGAAATGCACTAGAAATCAATGGCAGAGGATTTCAGGAAGTTTGAGAGCGTAAAAATACAAATGAGGGATTTTCGGTATTTATAGAGTTATGGGGGAAGAGCAATCGTTCGAAATTCAAAACAAAGGGCAAAATCGACCGAAGGAGTTACTGATCATAATGAACCTTTGGGGAACGCGGTTGAGAAGACCGAAGGTTTTAGGGTTTTGGGGGCGCATGATTGCGTGTGACGGCGAAATTAATGACGAAAGACGGTTCGACGCCCGCACGATGACAAGTGGGCTCACGGACTGAGGTAGTGGCTCGCGGATTGAGATGGTGGTCATAATGGCAAGGCGGTTCAGGCTGCCGCACGCCTTAGACGTCATTATGGGGGATTGGTCATGTTAGAGGGCGCCACGTGGCGAGTGGGTTAGCAGGATCAAGATCGTGCGATCGTGCTTAATAAATGCGCCTTGGAACTCGGGTATTAGGATCCTGAGTGGTAGATTCGCTTCTTCAAGGCCGAAACTCGGCCGAAGGTTTCAGGCCGAGGACCTCAGAAGCGAGGGGGCAATGTTTGGGCCCAAAATAATAGCTTGGGCCGAGGGTAGGATCACTCTCGGTCCAAGAGGCCGGGCGGCAGAAGGACCATGGATCGGTCAACACGTGGGCGTCCAAACCTAGGGCGGTTAGGACGAATCCTAGTGCAATGGGGAGTCTCGACGAGATCGGATATCCAGGAAACTAATCCAGCTTAGCTAAGGACTAGGTTCATAGTCCTAGTAGATGTAGGACTGGTCGAGGTGATCCGGAGAGGGAAACCTAGTCCGAGTAGGATTTAAACTCGGACTCAAGGTTCAGTACTATAAATAGGGGACGCTGTGCATCAGGAAGGGCCCCTTCAAATCAACACAAAAATTGCCCTGCGCAAACTCTCACAACTTGAGATCTTTTTCTTTTCCTTTTTCGCTGACACATCTTCCGTTGGCATCAACAGCACTGTGGAAGCAACCGGTGACGGCATAGATAGCTCTGTCACCGTAGAGTCGGTCGGTCTCGCAGTATCTTCCGTTGGCATCAACAGCACTGCGGCGAGAACGGTCGATTGCCTATCCAAGTCTCGGTCGAGAAGGGTTTTCGAATCCTTGTTGGTCGAGGTCATCTCATTAGCCTTCTCGGCGAGGTGAGGTGTTACAGTTATTACATTCGGCACATTGCAAGCCGAATTCGGTTCGTGAACTTTGTAAGAAATAGCAGCCTTGTCTTCAGGCTCGAGAACCCAAGAGGCCGAGACGCGTTCCTTTCTCGGCCGCAATCGCAAGACGCAGAAGTCAGTAGCGCGACCCAACGCAACATCAACAAATTTACTCCTCGGCCGAGCTCGGCCGACGAGTTGGCACGCCCCGCATTCACCGAAGGACGTAGTTAGCTTAGAATATATTCGGCCTGCGCGCCACGTAGGCTTTGTAATTTCTAGGGTCAACAAAGCCACAACACGTTATTCGCATGCTTCTACCACTTAGAAATGTGACGTGGAAATTATTCATCTTCAATAACGGGAATATTACGTATGAATTATTCTTAATTGATTAAATTTTGGTTTTCTTGTATTCATATACTTTTATTGCTTCAATTTATTTTTCTTAGAACGTGATACAAGCTTCGGAGATGGAAAGCTAAAATTAAAGAAATAATTTTCTGCGTCAAACTAGTTCATCAATATCATCACGCAATCAAGTTCTTCTAAAACAACGGTTTTTATCTCGATATTTTTGCAACCCTGATAGCATAAACATTTACTATAATGCATGACCCAACTTTACGATTTATGAATTTTAGATTCTACATAAATTGTGTATGCATTATATCCATAATATTGTGAAATTATGTGAATTGATATTGTATGGAATTATATAGATTAGTATTAAATTATATATGCATATTTGAATTTTGAAAATTAAAAAAAAAAAAAAAAAAAAAAAAAAAAAAAATATATATATATATATATATATATATATATATATATATATATATAAACCACGATTTCGTTGAAAACCCCTCCCACTGAGCGAGTCGCGGCCGTTGAATCGCCAAGCCGCTGAGCCCAGCATACCAGGCTAGCAGCCTGAGCCACTGGAGGCGAGCCAACCCACGAAGCCAGCAGCTCCACGCCCTGGAACCCAGAACCCACGATGTCGTTTCGACATCGTCCACCCCCAAAGCCGACGCCATCATCGGCGTCGCCACTGATCTTTTGACAAAAAAGAAAAGTCAGATGTAGATCCTGATGAGCATGTGTTTGGTAAACCTTTAACATGAACATTTTAATACATTAGATTTTGATTTTTTTTTTGTTTTTTGGCTTCTTGGACTAATTGAATGCAAACCATGAATTGGTTTTCTTTTTTGCAAGATTTGCATCTTCGCAATCTAATATTGAAAAAGGAAGCGTAGAAAGATTTAAATCTTCTGGAAATGCTCAAAGGAGATCGTAACAAAAGCATTGATTGGATGGTTGAGGTAAACTCTGCGTTTATATGCTTTTCCCAAATTCTGCGTCCTTTTCCAATTCCCGTACAAAAGATAAATGGGTTTTGTGCAATTTTGCAGATGCAAGCCAAAAGCAGACTGAAGGATGCTACCGTATTTCTGGCAATAAATACCTGGACAACTATCTGTGTTCGAATTTTGATCCGGCAATATTTCTTTTCCCTTTTACTATTTTGTGTAAGAAATATATTGTTTTCAAAATTTGATTAGATTTTTTATTATTTATTTTAAAATCTAAAGCCTGACTGGGAGCTAGCTGTGGCTTGCTTGTCAATTTCTTCAAAACTTGAAGAAATTGATTTTCCTCGCTGTCTGGTAGCCTAATTCCTCTTGCTCTATCTTGCACAATAATGAGAATTTCCAAACTCTGGAGAAATCAAGGTCCTCATGGCATTAGGGTGGGCGATTGAATGGATTACTCCATGGGACTTTTGTTTGGAATAAAATCTGAACTTTGGGCCAGAGAGAAAGCCGGCCCAAACCCAAGGCCCAGAGGAAAACTTAGGAGGCAGGAAAGAGGCTTTCGGCTGGGCACAAGTTACAAAGGCCACCTGCTTACCTGCTCAAAGACCACAGGGGGTAGGTTATTCAGTCACTGCACAGCCCAATAAAGTACTTTATTGGTGGCATTCATGTAAAAAAGCTAGTGAGTCATCACCAAACCGCATTTCGGGCACCGCTATTTGCTACAGGAACCCAAGCTGAAGTCGTCTATAAAAGGAGGAAGAGAAGACAGACAGAATTAAGGACACTCAAACAAACAAACAAAAGCCAAAACTCTGCTCAAGCCAGATTTGCCTTCAACGAAGCTGTAGTCAGCACAAGCCTTCTCATCCCATTCGGGATAAACCTTCCCAAACCCCTGTAATAGCTCTGCTACCTTGTTTCATGGTGGTATCGATTCATTTTGTATCCTCTTCTCCCCCGTCAACCCCTCTAAAAAAGCTTCCAGACCTCTGACAGAGCCACAAAGATAGATTTTGTAAGAAGTTCAGCCTTGGCCGATAAGGTTCAAAAACTTACCCGACTATCTTTGCTCTGTCTTTGTCTTTTCTTTCTTTTAAAAGCACAATAACATGTTATATATTCCCAGTTATATACAAGTTATTTCTAGCAAAGTCATAATGAAAATGAGTCTTCAGCACTTGGATCCGATCTGAATCGCGTAAGAGTTCAAATCAGATCTAAGTCTTAAGCCCGGCGGGCATGTAATTTAAAGATCAGTTTAAAAGTCCTTGGCCTCAAGGCATAAAAAAGAACTCTATGTGGACTCAACCCATCCACGACAATCCTTGATAAGCGAGAAGTCCGAAGTTACTTGGGGCGCAAGTAATCAATCTATTTCTCCGTTTTGTTGCTATTATATCTTGATTCGTAGAAAAGGCTTAAGCATGGAGTGAATTCTGATAGAAAGCCTCAAGGCCTACACCTAAGGCCCCACGAAGGCATCTATTTAGCTTCATTTCATGTTGTGGTCTAGTTGGTCCGAGTATAAGGATTAACTCTGATGGGAAGCCTCAAGGCCTATACCTAAGGCCCTACAAAGGCACTCATTTGGGTTCGTCCTACCTCTTGGATTCAGATAATCAAAAGTATAATAGTGATAAGACTCTGGCAACCATAAAAAGATCAAATATGATACATCCAAGCGCTGGTTTAGTTTGACAGGAAGCCTCAAGGCCTATACCTAAGGCCTCATAAAGGCACCTGTTATATCTAACTTGGTTTCTCGGGCGTATACATATTCAATCAAAGCTTAACACCCATTCAACATCTGCCATACTGAAGATGGCAGTGGCACGCCCCTGAGCACGACAAAGTTAATCTTGATTGTGAGCCTTAAGGCCTACATCTAAGGCCCCACAAAGGCACCCTTTCAAATTAACTCTGTCCTTCTCTTTCAGAACTGCCCGACGAGCCTTGCCCGAAGTGTGTCTTGCCCGACCAAGATCTGCCCGACAAAGGCTTGCCCGAACGAGCCCGAGAAGAAAGCAGAAGTACGACAGATACCCTCAACCGACGCCATTCTCCTAGGGGAGCTGTGTGCTCGTCCGCCAGGAGATTCCTGCGACGAACATAGTTTTGGCACGCCCGGTGGGACAAGAAACAGCTGCACTTCTAAGATCTTACATGTCCAAAAAGAGAAGCTATAAACTTGCCAAAAAAGAAGCCAAGAAGGATCTTTTCCAGATGACAGAACAATCAGAAAATCCTTTATCCCCATCCGGACAAGTGGTCTCAGGTAGTTCGACTACATCTGAGAAATCACAGGGGAAAGGGATTAATGAAGAACTGCAAGCTACAATGATCCAAGTGTTGAAAAGCATGGAAAGAATTTCCTTGGAGACTAAGGGAGAAGTAAGCAGACTCTGTATGCTTACAGGAAATCTACAAAGGAGGCTGGATTTGGAGTTCTCTACTCCAAAGGGTGCTCAAGGAAGTGGAATGAGTCCAGTTGTTATAAGAAGTGAGCCAATCATTCCTTTGTTTCCACTACTAGAAGAAGAAAAGGATAGGGGAAAGAAGAAGGTGATACCTGAAGGAAGTCAAGCAGTGATAGAGTCAGCTTCAGAAAAGGAGTTTCCAAGCTTCCCATTATTATCATTTAATAATAGGAGGCAGAACGAACAAGAAAGAATGAAGTTTGGACTGCCAGCCACGGCTGGAGAAACTAGCGGGAAAGAAACAACCATTTCTACGTCAGATAAACCTCTACCTTATAGGCCACCCCCGATGGTCAACAAAGGTGGAGGATCTAACTGGAGAAAATCTGAAACCATGAGGGAAGCAAACGCGGGCAATGACCGGAGTCCGAAGATTGAGTCAGCTATCCATGGCCAGAATGATAATTTAGCTACTCAGCAACTAAGAGAAGAATTGGCTGAGTTAAGAAGAACGGTGATTCAAAACGTCCAGCCTCGAGTTCGTCCAGTATTCAGGGTTACCTACCAGAAGCCATATCCTGAATATATCGATGAGTTAAATCCATTCCCTCTTAATTTCAAGATGCCCGCATTCCCGATTTTCACAGGGGAAGATAGCAGTGTGTCCTCCAGAGATCATATTTTCAAATTTTCTAATCACTGTGTGGCGTATGAGGACAATCCAAACTACAAATTGAGGTTGTTTGGAAATTCACTAGCAGGATTGGCATCTCAATGGTATTCTCTATTACCCCCCAATTCCATTGCTAACTGGGGGCAAATGGAGATGGCTATCCATGAACAGTTCTACAGGATAGAGCCAGAGCTCACCATTAATGATCTGGTAGAAGTGAAACAATATGATCATGAGTCCACCGAAGATTTTATGATGAGGTTCAGAAGGACAAGGATGAGATGTCAGTTCCCTGTCAACCAGGCACAGCTCATATCCATTGCTCAAAGGGCTTTAAAATTACCTTTGAGAAAAAGGTTCTATGATGCACAGTTTAATGAGCTACAAGAGTTGGTGATTGCTGCTACTAAGTATGAGAGGCTGTTACAGGAGGAACAACAGGTAAAACATACTTCCAAAACTCCTCCGTTCTACAAAAATAAAGCTACTATTCACCATGTAGAGGTAGGGGAAGCCGGACCCGAATGCAAAGATGATCATGAGGAGAAGAGTATAGATGTGTGTGCTGCTGAGATGACCACACCCTTCAAGCCATTGACGATCAAAGGGTTAGTCCAACCAGTCAAGGACCAGAAGATAGTGATGAATGATGGTGGGTTCGTACCCATGAAACCCCCAAAGTATCAAAGTTATTCTTTTGATCTAACCAAGGTGCCAGAAATCTATGAAGAACTTGTGCGGGCAAGAGTCATTTTGCCCGACAACACCAAAAAGATGCCCAAGCCCGAGGAACTCAGGGGGAAGAAGTATTGTAAGTTGCATTATACCTTCAACCACTCTATAGTCAATTGTGTCCAGTTTAGGGACTGGGTACAGGATCTTATAGTGAAGGGGAAGTTACTACTCGATTCACCTCAGGCTAGTATGATGGTGGATACTAACCCTTTCCCCGAAGCTCCTATTAGCATGATCGACCTCGTTTTCAAGGAGTCGGGGTTATCAACAGAGTAAAATGCCATTGAAAGGACCCGGGGGCAGGGGCTAAGATTGCCAACAATAAAAATGGAGCAGAACAGGAGGAATGTTACATATCCATTCTAAAACAAAAAGAGATTACAAAGTAATTCTATTCCAAAAACTTTACATCTTCACATAAGGTGATTATTCTAGAATGGTATGTTCGCATGATGGTAAAAATCCTATTTGGTTCAGCCAAGACAGTATGGCTGTTTACAAGTTCAGACTTGGTTTGCTCTAACTCTGAAGTCGCTTTTCCACCCCTTCGATCTGTTGCTCAAGGTTATCCAGAAGAGTTGTTTGCTCCGCCTTAAGGATCATCAGTTGTTTCTCCAACTTCTGAATTTCAGAAGAAACAACTTCAATCCGTTCTTTGGTCTGCATACTCTCTTCCATCAGCCGACTAACTTGGGTAGAGGAGCTCGATTCTCTCTCTATGAAGCATTTTGCTCGGTTAGCCAGCCGGTCTGCTCTCTGATGTTGCTCCCTGAGGGCCCTCAAGTTTTCAAAGAAATAAAGGAAAGAATCATACTGAGGCTTGGATAAGCGATCGTTTTTAAAGAACTCAGTAATGACTCTCTCGAGGTCACAGAGAGCCTTGAGGCTAAATGATGCAGTGAATTCTTTCTTTGCCCATGTTTGAAAGATTTGTTGCTGCTCCGAAGACATAGATTTTGTTGAAGCCTGCTTTGAAGACTTCAACCGCGTCTCAAGTCGCCCGAGTGCTTCGAAGAGTTTGGGCAACTTGGCAGGATCAGAGGAGGAAGGAGAAGGGTCCGGCATAACAGTTTCTTCTGGTGAGATAATGCCTATGGAAGGGGCAATTTCTGTTTGTTCAATCGGTTCATCTCTAGACAGGGAGGTGTCAACATCTCCAGAGGAAGAGGGAGGTTGAAAGCACTTTGGGTTACGGGCCATTGGAGGAGGGGAAGTTTCTTTTGGGGAAGCTCGCTACAAAACTTCAGGATCAGGACAAGATGAACTATGCACAAGTCAAAGCAAAAGAGGCTTTGGAGAGAAGAAAGTTACCTGACTTAACCCCGGGGTTTCACCAGAGAATGCACTAACTCCTTGTCGAGGTGAAGATTTTTCACCACCAGCGACAGATGGGAAAGTTGTGCCTGAACCTGTGCCTACATCCTGGTTGTATCCGAAGAAAGTAGTGATGATCAGCAAAAGGTCACCAGAGGAAGAAACAAGAAGAAAATATTCCAGCACCTGAGGTTGATCTTGAGGAGAAGAAGGAGGTTCATCGACCATCTGGCGAGTAAGCGCTTGCGAAATAGTTGTGTCTAAAGCTACAGGGATCTCAGGAACTATGGGTTCTTTATCCAAGGCCACTGACGGGGGAAGGGGTTCATATCCCGAAGATGGCTGCAAAAAACATGGATAGGAGTTACTTGGGTAGCAATGTGCAAAGTTGAAATGAAAAGAAAGAGTAACTCACCAAAGTATCATCCTCATCCACAAAATGCAACATGATTCCTGTGGAAGGATCAAATTGAGAAGAAGGGGTTGCATCTAGGGTAGGTTGCGGAGAAAGACTTTCTTTCCTTGTAGCCTAAGCCAAATTATTCAAAATTCAGGAAGGTTTGAAAATAAGAAAGTATAAAGATAGAAGTCATACCTCTTTAGGCGTAGCAGCCCTTCGTGATTCCTTCTTAGAAGCAAGGGTTGACCTTTTAGAAGCTTGAGGTCCTGTTGAGTGATAAAGGGATAATCAGATAAGGGAGAAAGGTAGCCATTTGATCCAGAAGAGGAGAGACTCACTGGAAGATTATTCTGTCTCTTTACCCGCTTCAGAAACAGGAGCAGATGGGGCTGCTGGTTTAGGAGGCACGGTGACTCTTGCCTGCTTACTCTTTCGGGTGAGAATTGGTCCTGTGGTTGCTGAAGGAAGTGCCGGATCAGAGATTGTGGTTTTAGTTATGGCCACCCTCTTTCGTTTTGATGCTTTGATCGTATCCTTGGCTATTTCTTTAATTGTTTCTTCGGCTCCTGAATCCCCAAGAGATTCTGAGACGTCTGTCCCTTCCCCGGCTTCCCGCCTTTCAGCTTCTGCTGCAGCACCATGAAGAACTGCGGCATCAGCAGAATCATTCTCTGATTCGATGGCTTCGGATTCAGTATCAACTGAAGCTGCAGAAACAGGTAAAAGTGAGGAAAGTAAACAACAAGGAAAGCAAAATCGGATGGGAAGAAAGTCACCTATTAGGAGTAATCGGTTTTTCTCTTGGATCATATCTTTCCAATTTGCAAGCTCGCCCGAGCTAGGATATGATTTAAGAGAAAGCTGGCTAAAAATGCGATCGTGGTTCACTTTCAAATCTCCTCCGTATTTTCTAGTCCACCTTTCCTCCCACCAAGAGGAAAACAGCGAGGTACATTCGAAATTAAGAACAACGGAATGTCGGGCTGCTTGGCTCATCACGTCCAAACTACGGCGGGCAGCTCGAAATATCGCTTCAGAAGGAGTCTGTAACCGAAATGAAGTGCCACAATGGATGGAGTCGAAGAATGGGACAGGTATGGATTGCCTAAATCCTAATTGCCTGCTGCAGAAGTTAGGATGATACACCTCCAAGCCTCGATCATACCGATTTCCCCGAACCCCCCAGGCCAAGTCTCTTGGTTGAATACAGCTGATAAACTTTTCCCTGCAGAAGGGAGCAGCATCCTCACCAGGGGCATCTTGGAAGGCTTGGTCAGAAAACCAAGGATATCTCCTCAAGACCGATGCACCCCATTCCAAGTCTGATCGAGTCCTGCAGACTCGGAAAAAGTAGAAGCATGCAAAGGTGGAATGATCTACAGGAGGAGCTTCAGCCAGGATTCGGGCAGGAGCCACACCCTCTGGAAACTCTAGATTAATAGCCCGAAATTCTGGAAAATACCATTGTAGCCAAATCTGTATCATCCAGATGGGGCCGTTCAAATTGGTCTCAAAAGGGCTCATCCCGGGTCATGTCAAAAAGAAGGTGATAGAGATGGGAGAGAAGGAATGGACCTGTAGCAACGTCATCAAAATTGTGAAGAACCTCTACCAAGGGGATCCATTCTACCCGTACCCCCTTGGATTTGTTGGGGAAGACGTGCTTGTTAAGCCAGTAAAGAAGAAAGTACATATGCTCTTGATCTTTGTCGGCTTGAGGAGAGCCTGCCCCGAAGTTCTTCTTGACAAAAGGGATGAATCCTTTAAAGGAGGTCCCATAACTTTTGAAAGTAACTGAGTTATAGCTGAGAGGAAGGAAGTAGGTGGAAGAACTTGAGCCCCCGATGGTAGAGGATGGAATCCAATCTTGAGTAACATCTATCACCCTGCCCGATGGCCTCAACCCGAAGACTTGGGCCATATCAAGAATGGTGGGAGACATGGGACCCATACGGAAATCGAAGGTGTTTGTGCCCGTATTCCAAAAGAGGAGGGCAGAAGCAAGCAATTCGGGCTTAGGGGTAATTGAAATCTTCGAAAGCATAATCAGTTCGTAGATGCCGTTACTCATCCATTTCTGCTTGAAGGAAGGTTCCAATTCGTCAATCCACTGGGCCCAGGCAAGATCATTCATCAAGGGAAAGCCTCGACGATGAAAAGACCACTTAGAAGAAGAAATGCCCGAGTCGGCCAAATAAGGATTTGGGGTAAACCAGTTTCCCCTAGGCATATTACTTTCTACTACTGAGGGAACCCGAGAAATCCAGGCAGGACCCAAAGATTGAACCCCATGCATCTCAAAGAAGAGTTCAGAATGCAGACCTGCCCGTGGACGATGCAGCCTGTTAAGCAGACGGCGTAGAGTGGCAATTCCTTCACCAGACTCGTAGGATGGTAGGGTTTGGCCGGATCCTGAGGCCATTTAATGAAGGCCGTGGGGAAGAAAAACAAGGAGAACGGTAAAGATGCAACCTCGTCGGACAACGAGAAAGAAATGATGGAAGAATTGGGGAAGTTTTGTTGTATCAGAGAAGGTTTTCTTTTTACGAAACACAGAGAACGGAGAAGTTCACTCACAAGGGTTTTAAGAGTTCTAAGGGTTTAAAACAGGGGTCTCTTTCAATTAATGTTGGCGCTTGGGATCCCAACCTTAACATCAATTGAAGGGGGCACTGTTTGGAATAAAATCTGAACTTTGGGCCAGAGAGAAAGCCGGCCCAAACCCAAGGCCCAGAGGAAAACTTAGGAGGCAGGAAAGAGGCTTTCGGCTGGGCACAAGTTACAAAGGCCACCTGCTTACCTGCTCAAAGACCACAGGGGGTAGGTTATTCAGTAACTGCACAGCCCAATAAAGTACTTTATTGGTGGCATTCATGTAAAAAAGCTAGTGAGTCATCACCAAACCGCATTCGGGCACCGCTATTTGCTACAGGAACCCAAGCTGAAGTCGTCTATAAAAGGAGGAAGAGAAGACAGAATTAAGGACACTCAAACAAACAAACAAAAGCCAAAACTCTGCTCAAGCCAGATTTGCCTTCAACGAAGCTGTAGTCAGCACAAGCCTTCATCCCATTTCGGGATAAACCTTCCCAAACCCCTGTAATAGCTCTGCTACCTTGTTCATGGTGGTATCGATTCATTTTGTATCCTCTTCTCCCCCGTCAACCCCTCTAAAAGCTTCCAGACCTCTGACAGAGCCACAAAGATAGATTTTGTAAGAAGTTCAGCCTTGGCCGATAAGGTTCAAACTTACCCGACTATCTTTGCTCTGTCTTTGTCTTTTCTTTCTTTTAAAAGCACACAATAACATGTTATATATTCCCAGTTATATACAAGTTATTTTCTAGCAAAGTCATAATGAAAATGAGTCTTCAGCACTTGGATCCGATCTGAATCGCGTAAGAGTTCAAATCAGATCTAAGTCTTAAGCCCGGCGGGCATGTAATTTAAAGATCAGTTTAAAAGTCCTTGGCCTCAAGGCATAAAAAAGAACTCTATGTGGACTCAACCCATCCACGACAATCCTTGATAAGCGAGAAGTCCGAAGTTACTTGGGGCGCAAGTAATCAATCTATTTTCTCCGTTTTGTTGCTATTATATCTTGATTCGTAGAAAAGGCTTAAGCATGGAGTGAATTCTGATAGAAAGCCTCAAGGCCTACACCTAAGGCCCCACGAAGGCATCTATTTTAGCTTCATTTCATGTTGTGGTCTAGTTGGTCCGAGTATATAAGGATTAACTCTGATGGGAAGCCTCAAGGCCTATACCTAAGGCCCTACAAAGGCACTCATTTGGGTTCGTCCTACCTCTTGGATTCAGATAATCAAAAGTATAATAGTGATAAGACTCTGGCAACCATAAAAAGATCAAATATGATACATCCAAGCGCTGGTTTAGTTTGACAGGAAGCCTCAAGGCCTATACCTAAGGCCTCATAAAGGCACCTGTTATATCTAACTTGGTTTCTCGGGCGTATACATATTCAATCAAAGCTTAACACCCATTCAACATCTGCCATACTGAAGATGGCAGTGGCACGCCTGAGCACGACAAAGTTAATCTTGATTGTGAGCCTTAAGGCCTACATCTAAGGCCCCACAAAGGCACCCTTTCAAATTAACTCTGTCCTTCTCTTTCAGAACTGCCCGACGAGCCTTGCCCGAAGTGTGTCTTGCCCGACCAAGATCTGCCCGACAAAGGCTTGCCCGAACGAGCCCGAGAAGAAAGCAGAAGTACGACAGATACCCTCAACCGACACCATTCTCCCAGGGGAGCTGTGTGCTCGTCCGCCAGGAGATTCCTGTGACGAACAACTTTGTTCAGGCACGTGTCAAAAACCCAAACCTAAACCCTAAAAATTCTATATACACCCAAATCATTTTTAACGTATTATTTATCTTCAACTATCAAAACCCCTCCAACCCTCCATTGTTGAACAAAACTCTAACAAATGAAACTACAAACATGTTGATTGAAAAAAATTATTTTTGACAAATAAAACACGAAATCGATATTTCGAAAGATTCACATGAGATAAGATTTCATATTACTTATTGTTTTGGTGATTTTGACGACATCAATAATTATTTAATCTTACTTTTGATGCGTTATTCAAGCTTCTATGTTCGTATTCATCTTTTAGGGATCACAAGAATTGCATAAAGAATTAAACACCTAAAATTACCACCAAATATTAAAAACAGATGACATGGGTTTTAATGATGGAATTGAAAACAACCGACATATGCTTTAAGTCCCAAGTGACAACTTTTGTCAAAATTTTAGTCGGCATTATTTGTCCAAATTAAAAGTTTTATAAGATTTGAGAAATATGGGGTGTATAGAAAATATGGGGTGCATATAGAAAATGTACGGTGTATGTTAAGAATGTGAGGTGTGATGGTATTATGGGAAAGTAATCGGGGTGTATTAAGATAATTTTTAATTAAAAAAGAAAATGTGGAGTGTATTAAGTATGTGGGGTTTATTCAACAATTTATGGGATGTTAATATAATAAGCCTATTTCTTTTCCCTTTTACTATTTTGTGTAAGAAATATATTGTTTTTAAATTTTGATTAGATTTTTTATTTTTTATTTCAGAATCTAAGGCCTGATTAGGAGCTACTACGAGTGGCTTACTTGTCAATTTCTTCAAAACTTGAAGAAATTGATTTTCCTCGCCGTCTATGGTAGCCTTATTCCGCTAACTCTATCTTGCACAATGATGAGAATGTACGGCACTCTCCAGATTGAAATCAAGGTCCTCATGGCATTAGGGTGGGCGATCGAATGGATTACTCCATGGGACTTTGTTCAAGCATGTGTCAAAAAGCTAGACAGAGAA